GCTTGAGATAGTTTCCCTCGAAACATAAAATTTTGTCTCCCTTGAGATAGTTTCTCTTGAAAACATTTCCCTTGAAATTAATTTTTTCTCTCCTGAGATAGTTTCCCTCGAAACAGAAAATTTTGTCTCCTTGAGACAGTTTCTCTTGAAACATAAACATTGAAAACATTTCCCTTGAAATGAATTTTATCTCGCTTGAGATAGTTTCCCTTGAAACGAATTTTGTCTCCCTTGAGACAGTTTCTCTCCAAACATAAACTTTGAAAATAATTTAACGAAATCTTTGAATATGTTTTCCTTCAAACAAATTTTGTCTCCCTTGAGACAGTTTCTCTTGAAACGACACAATTTGCTCGAGAATAGATTTCAACTTCACAACGAAGGATGTCTAGCTCGAAGCCAAACATCCACGATTTCAACTCCACGACGGAGGATATCGTGACACTCGAGACAACACAAGTTCAACTTCACAACGAAGGGACGGCTGGTTGTCAACAAACAACTTCTCAATTTCAGAGCCAATTTCAACTTCACAACGAAGGATATTGGACTCCAGACAACGCAAGTTCAACTTCACGACGAAGGGACCACTGCTTGTCAACAACAACTTCTCAATTTCAGAGCCAATTTCAACTTCACAACGAAGGATATTGGACTTCAGACAACGCAAGTTCAACTTCACGACGAAGGGACCGCTGCTTGTCAACAACAACTTCCCAATCTCAGAGCCAATTTCAACTTCACAACGAAGGATATTGGACTCCAGACAACGCAAGTTCAACTTCACGACGAAGGGACCGCTGCTTGTCAACAACAACTTCCCAATATCAGAGCCAATTTCAACTTCACAACGAAGGATATTGGACTCCAGACAACGCAAGTTCAACTCCACGACGAAGGGACCGCTGCTTGTCAACAAAATTTCATTCAGAGTCAATTTCAACTTCACAGCGAAGGATATTGGACTCGAGACAACACAAGTTCAACTTCACAACGAAGGGACGACTGGTTGTCAACAAACAATTTTCCGGTTCCAGAGCCAATTTCAACTTCACGACGGAGGATATTGGACTCGGAACAATGCTACTTACTTGGATTTCAACTTCACGACGAAGGATATCCAACTCAAAGAAGGATTATCTGCCATCAAAATTGTCGAGCTCGACTCCATTCAGCTCGATGACACATCAATCGCACTACTTTCCGGTTGCAGTCGAGGTTTTCAAGTCGAGAAGATGACCTGGGTTAGCCGTGCCTTAGTGACAAGCAACCATTTTCAAACAACATAGCTTAAGTCAAGAAAAAGCTATATGTCAATGAAGATTTCTGAGTTCGATTCCGATCCAAGGTCTTTAAACCGAGAAGAAGACCGAAGGGTAACGGGAAGCCACGTGCTGATTCAAATTCCAAACTACGGCTTCAATTTCATATCATTTCAGGATGAACTCGACTTAACGATGGAGGAGTCATCCGTAACTCAATTCGACAGGGAGTTATTAAAACATCAGAGTTAATTTTCAACTCCACTGAACGAAAAGTGTGTCTTTTAATCTTTGCCCTATCCCTGTTACACGACTATGGGCAAAGAAGGGCAGCTGTCAACACACATTTTCGTCCTACTAGAATTCAAACTCCTAAAAATAGGATAAAATTTTGCTAGGATTCAAACTTCTAAAAATAGGATAGAGTTCTACTAAGATTTAAATTCCTAAAGATAGGATCCACAAGCACTATAAATAGTCATTGTAACTCACCATTGTAACACACGATTTACACACAAAACATAGAGGAAAGCACGAGAAGATACAAAGGCAAAACTATTGTAAAGGATTCGAAAAGGAAATAAAATGTAGCATTTTCTTTTTTCTTTCTTTTGCATGTGCACGTTATTTTTCTTGAGATTTGGTTTGAATAACCCAAAACGTGGGTTGCGCCGATGACCAAAATGGGTGGGGTTTCGAAGTTTCGAACCTAGATCTACCCCGAGGCTTATTTTTAAAAACCGGTTTGATTTTCGGTTAAAGGAGGAGAAGAGCTTTTTAAAAATCTATATTAGTCCCTTTATTTATTATATGAATATTTTATTCATTTATTTTTATTATTATTATATGTATATATATATATATATATTAAATTATTTTCATTTATTTTTTTACTATATTTTATTATTATTATATATATATTTCTTTAATATTTTACTTATAAGTCTAATATTACTATATATATATTGTAATTATCTTTATCTAGTCGTATATATTTTTTATACTTTTAATAGTTTATTTATATACCTATTATTAAATATATATATTCTTAATTATTTTTATTTGATTATTTCTTTATTTATGTAATATATCTTATATCTTATAACTTTATAACTTTATATTATTTTTTATTATTTTCTTTTTTTTATTCATTATTATTATTATATTATTATTTAAAAAAAACATTGTGTCTTTATCATTATTATTATTAAACATTATATTATATACTACTAACCTAGAGGGCCCATTTTTTTGTCTTATTTCTTACTAAAGCCCCTCACTTTCGGTGAATTGGGAGGGTAGCTTTTCTATTTTTAAGTATTTGGTGTATATATATAGCTTATTTATTTTATTAATACTTTGATATATATATATATATTTATATTTTTTCCTTTTTTCAAATATTACTATATATAATTATTACTTTATTATTTTTTTCTTATCTTACTTATTTATTTTAATTTTCCTTTGTATCTTATTTGTTTTCTTTACCTTGTTTATATAACACATTTCTCGATTTTTTTTAAAGGATATTTTCAAATCAATCAAGGGTAAGTAATTAGGATCGAAACTTTACCTTTTAATTTAACTTGTTATTTTTCTTAATTAAGACAACTGGAAATTACGTACTACCGAAAGGGCGGTTCAAGGGTGCTAATCCTTCCTTGACCGTAACCGACTCCCGAGCCCGACATATTTCTGGTAAGACACAGATCAGGTAAGAAATAGGGTATCCGATCAACCCATTTATTTTTAAATAAATGATCGGTGGCGACTCCAATCCACATTTTTCTAAGTCGAAGCCCAATTCCGGGGCCCAACTGAAAGACGGTTGCGACATTATTTTAAAATAATTTTAAGAAAAATCATTTTAAAGATAAAATGGTATGTGTATTACCATAAATTAATTTTTTAGGATTTGGAAGTCGGATATGAGTGAGAAAGGGTAAGCACCCCTACAACACCCAAAAGTGGCACCTAATTGCTTATATATTGTCGTAGTGGTGGAACTTGTAGATTCGAGTCAAAATTTAAAATATGATCATTTTATTGAAGATTGGTCAATTTGTTTCAAATTATTTATTTAAAACCTCACATTAAACATGAATCGAATATAAATTAAATAAATTAAACAGCATACCAAAAAATACATTGTCATTATTAAAACAAAATGATAATTTTAATTTTACCAAAGCATACTTGATTATTTTTTAAGTTCACTTTTCATTCGAATGTCGTTTTAAATCGTGCTACTTCTACCAAGTTACACTATTCACACCCATTCTACAATAGGCGTTCATGAAAATTCACACAAGTGCAAAATAAACTTAGTGATGATTATTATCGAATTTTAAAGGCATTTTACCATTCTAAGCAATCCTATCTATTATTACACTACTCACGTAATAGTATGAGAGCTAAAATATAAAAGTATTAAAGTTAGAAAACACCAAGACATAGATTAATCAAATTCATGTGAATCTAAACTAAGCAAGAACTAATCATTTAAGCTAAAATTCATAATAACATAAAATGTAGGTACTAGAAGTGCAATAAAATGCTAAACATGTGGGACTAAAATAGAAATAAAGTAAATTACATGTACTAGAAGTGCAATAAACTGCTAAACATGTGGGACTAAAATAGAAATAGAGTGAAATAAAGATCATAAATCACACGAAGGGCTAAAATGAAATAAAATATAACATAAAGTTCAAATTAAAAATTAACAGAAAAGTAAATGCTAGAATTTAAAAGACAGAAATGTAAAAGCTAAAAAATAAAAGGGCAGAATAAATAAAACTAAAAATTAAAATACTGAAATATAAATAACAATAAAATAAGGTTAAGAAATTAATATTTTAATTTTTCAACCCAGATCATAATAAGGCAGATCGTACCCCGTGCCAGTCATCGCAAGGTCATACAATGGTTCAAATGCGAAAAAAATAAAAATTAAAAGTTAGTGACATAAAAAATAATAAAAAATAAAATAAAAGTTAGTAGTTAACGATTAATAGTGTTAAAAATAAAAATTAGCAGTTAGTGGTTAGTAACAATAAAAATAAAATAATAAAGATAAAATAAAATAAAAATTGATAATTAGTTGTCAGTAGTGTTAGAAATAAAAATAAAATAAAAGTTAATAGTCAGTTGTTAGTAGAAATAAAAATAAAAAACAAAATATAAGTCAGTAGTTAGTAGTATTAAAATTTTAATCCGGACCGTAATAATGAAGATCGTACCTCAGGGCAGGTCACCTCGAGATCGTACGATTATTTGAATACAAAAAATAAAAATTAGTGGTTAGTTACCAGGACTTTATAAAAATCAGTAATAAAAAGTGTTCGGAAAGTAATAATGTGGGTCTTTCCCCATATCAAGTTACCACAAGATCAAATTGAATATTATGTGAATAAATAAAACCATCAACAAGTGACTAAAATAAAAAGTAAGTAAATAAGAGCATCAGATTAAAAATATATAAAAAATTAGAAAAATGGTGACCATTTTGTAAAACCAAACCTAAAATTAAGGGGTATAACGTGATTATTCCTAAAAATTATCATCTAAACCATCAACAAGTGACTAAAATGCACAGATTTAGTGATGAAAATGCAAATAAGCTGCTAACATTTAGTGACCTAAACAAAATTAAACCAAATATATTATATTTTGGCTAATTCTTTGCCATATATGCGTAACTTGGCAGCCAGAACCCTAAACGGGTTTCCACTTTTGTTTTTATTTTTTCACTTTTGCTCTCTCCCTCTCTCAAGCATCGGCCGCTCACCAAATTCCCAAATCAAACGAAACTCCGGCAACCGCCCTGGTGTCGATTTGCCTTCGACGCATGAAAGTCATTTAAAGGCCTAAGGAAACTCGACCCTTTGGTTTCTCCTAGCCCCGATTACTCCGGCGACGAGAGAATCCCAACTCAACTACGGTAAGGCTTCCCCTCTCTACTACTTTCAGTTTTAAAAAAAAGACCAAAGCTACTGGAAATGAGAAATATAGTCGATATACCTCTGAAGAATATCTTTTTTATTTCCTTGTTTCGAATCTGGGCAAGAGCCCTTCTATTGCTCTATTTCGAACGTGGGAGAGGTCCCTGTTACAATATTTTATGGTCTTTTGAATGAAAAAAATAGGGATCCCCTACACTGTTGTTATTGTTGGGTTTATAAAGCATCCATGTTACAAAAACAAAAAAAAAAACAAAAAACAAAAACCCTTTTTTTACATTTTTTTGTCATTTGTTTACATGTTTGCTGACGAAGATCAGAGAGATGGCGTTGGCATAGAGCATGGCTTGCTGGCACTGTCGGGCATGTCTTGAGACAGGGTGTGGCAGCAATCGGGCATTAAGTGCGTCGATTTGTAGGGATTTTATCCCTTTTGTTTGACTCTTTTTTAATTAAATAATAATAATTAAATATATGTAGAAAAAAATTGGTGATTACAGTTGATTTTTCTTTTTCCTCATTGATTTGAAACAAGAATAGAGAAAGCACTAATTTTTATCTAATATGACTGCTTGAAATCCTTCTGCTACAAATTCTTCTCGTTAACTTTCATTGAACATATTGATCCACATCTTTATGTAATGAGTTAGAGCAAAAAAAATTAACAATTTATTTTTATTATGAATTTTTTATCTTTTGTCGGACGAGTTCTTATTATAAATTTTTTTTATTGAAAATGTTGATCTACATGTTTATGTGATGGATTTGAATAAAAGATCGAATAAGTTATTTTTCATTATGAATTTTTTCTTGGATGAGTTCTTATTGCGAACTCGCTTTTGGAATGAATTTGAATTATTTTGAGCGATATGATGCTAATCTAACTCCTTATGTGATGGAATCGAACAAAAAAAATGATGATGATTCAACTCTTTATATGATGGAAGAGTCTTGGTCAAACAAGTTTTTTTATTAAAAACTTCTTATATTTTATCGAACGAGTTCTTCTAATTATGAATTCTTATATTTTAAAATGCTTGCTCTATTTTCTCTTTGAATAATTTTAAACTTGCAAAATAGTATCATATGTCATTGATATGCATTTAAAGTACCCAAAAGTAATAACTTGAAGGTTTTTAATTCTTTGCTAAGATCCACTTGTTTCAAAGGTGAAAATGTAAATTGAATTTTTACTAAAATTACATTCTTTCTCACACCATTGAGAAATGAAATTTTGGTTTACTTTTAAAATTTTTGTCAAGCATTCAAAACTTGATGAAAAATGAATTTGTATGTTCCTATTTTTTTTTTTTTTGCAAATACCTAATTATGCATGCATGATGTCATTTTAGTATCGCAAGCCCCATTATCTTGTGAATCTTTGTTTCATTCTCTTTGTTGAGTCTTCGTCTCGTGACTAGTCTTTCTCATTCCCCCAACAATAGTGGCCTTCAACATTCAATTTCTTTGCCTTCGTTTCTAGTTTCGAGCTTTTATGTCTGAGTAACCTTTGTCAGGTTTCTACGATACCATTCTATAGAAGTTATCTTGTTTGAAAAATATTTTCCTTCATTTGAAAAATTTGTTGAAGAAACAAAATAATGCACCTTCTTATGCTCACAATTGAAGCAAGTAACAAAACATGAGTTCACTGAATATTAACAGAATTAACTACTCTTTAAATTTTCAAAGCTATAACTCTTTGACAAGTGTCAGGATTTATGAGTTGGTTTCAGGTCAACTTCCTATTTTTTTCTAGGGTTTTAGTCAACAAGTTTTCTCTGTCCATGTGGACATTGTGACGTATCCCTCTTTCTCAGCTTGGCATTCTAATTAAATGCAGACAAAGTGACGCAATTAGCATAATCGATTGCTAGATCTTCTAGAATGCTTCTATTTCAATTATATGAAATCTTTCATTTGTTCAAGTTTTATAGACTCCTTCAGTAGAGGTGGTGCATAAATATCGATATAAAAATAAAATTTCTGAGTGTTTGTGTGAAGTTAACTATAATAAGTGTTTCTCAACTCCCTTCGTTTATTTTCATTGATACTCCTTAGTGACTCAAACAATAGGCATTATTGCCTTATTCCTTGAAATTTATCAACTTTAAATTCACTTGCCTTTATTTAGGCACAGTTGAAGGATTCATCTCATCATGAACTCTTCGACTACTACCACAGTGGAGCAAACACTGAATTGCCAAGTATTCAATCAATATCATGATTTGAATGTAATTTATTCATAAAGTCATGGATTTTGAGTTATCTCTATAACCAATTGCTTTAGCAGAATAGTTTATCTTTATTATATTTACCTTATGAAAACACTTAATTAACTTTATTGGTATACGGATTTAATTTCTTAAGCTCATAGAGAAGAACTTGTTATATTCAGGGTGTCATTGATAATTGGAAAATTTCATCTTTAGATTTCAATCCCCAAGCAACTGACGTAAACTAAATTCATTTACTCCACTATTCCATCTGTGAAGATTATAATCATCACTGAACGTCCCCAACAGAAGTGTGGTCTAATTGGTCTTGCAATGTCATACACAAAAGATGACCCACTTTGCCCTCTCCTATACATACCTTAATGTCAAGCCGTTTGATTGTCTCTTCGTGAGAGGAGAAGGCTATCTTGGTCCTGTAAGAGAAGGGTATGATGTTATGTTGTACCTTTTAGAGTAGAATCAAAGGTCCTTGTTTTACAAAGGTTTAGTCTTGTTACTTTGTCAAAGATTTATAACTTAGATTATCTAACGAACTTTTAATTCTATTGATATCTGAGAGTTTTAAGATTAAAATTTACTCATTGCTCATAACCTCAGAAGGTTGCATTGTATTTAACATGTTCAAACATCAAGTGACTCATAGACTTTTAAAAAGAAAGAAAGAAAAACAAGTTCAAACAAGATAAAATGTTTTTATGCAAGTGCAACAAAACTTCATGGTGGATGCAATGACTCCTCTATTCGCATTAAAATACGTCATTACTCATTGAAGGTCCATTCCCCATAATCAATCAAATTTTGAACCTTACGCTTCAGTGCCCCATAATTCTCAGTAGTGTGGCCTGAGCTTCTTATGTGGTAGCTACATACTACGTTAACATCATAGCCTTCAAGAAATAGAGGTTCATTTGGCTTAGATTGTATTGGATTCACCAGATTCTTCCCAACCAATGTTGGGAGCAATTCTTTATATGTCGTCGGAGTTGGATCAATATGGTCTTTTCTCGAATCTTATGGTATCTGGCCCTATGATTAGCTGAATAAGATCCCACTGAATTGACCTCAACACTTGTCTTGATATCAATACTACCAGTTCCCCCTATATTACCATTTTTATATATTTTTTTAATCATTTCTCCACACATGATGATATCGGAGAAGCTTTTAGTGGTTGCTCTTATCAAGTGATTGATATATGGGGATTTTATGGTATTGATGAACAAAATGGTGAACGCTCTTTCATTCACTGGTAGATGCACTTGGGATGTAACGTCCCTCTATCGTTGTGCGTAGTGTCGGAAACTCTCGTTATACTTCATCTCCATATTTTGTAGCACTGTTCAATCAGGGGCCATATCATTTATTTGCTTGTATTGACCTAAGATGGCATGAGATAAATCTTTCCAATAATGATTTTGAGTACGATTTAGCTGGTTATACCACTTAGATGCGGCTTCAATTAGACTATCTTGAAAAATAGTGAATCAACAACTTATCATTCTCCAAGTGGCCAACTGTAATACCCTAATTTTGTCCTACAATAAAATAAGGAACAAAATCCAGGGACCATGCTTGTAATTGTACATTTTGTAAATTTGTGTGGCTTTAAAAGCCAAAAAGAAAGATGGAAACAGCTCTTTCTCCCCAGTTTCTTTAGAAACAGAAAATAAAGCTCTGCTATTCATGTTTTTCTTTCTTTCTTTCTTTTTTTATGCTTATTTTCTTTAATTTTTTTAGCATTAATACGTTAAATATGAGAGGGTGTTGGTCGGTGGTTAGTCGCTAATTTAAAATGATTCGAACGGTGATCGCCCTTTTTGGTGATCCCCGTTTTTAACCATTTAAGTTATAAGGATTTTAACTGTTTATGTTAAAATAATCTACAAGAAATCCGGGTGCAATGGTAATGTAATAGATTACACATTTTTTTTAACTGATTAAGTGCTTTAACCGTTTATATTACAATGACCTATTATAAATCTGGTTGTAAGAGTAACGTAATAGATTGCGCCTCATGTTTTCTTTTCAAACCGTCACTCATATTTCCGGCCTATATAGTTCATTTTTATTTATGTCGCTGGTAATAAGCGTTACCTGAAACAAAAGGAGCGCGACCTTGAAGCATTTGTAAAGTTTGTTATTAAAAATTTTGGTTTTGAGGTTTATATTTTAAGTTGTGCCCTTATGAATCAAAATGTCAATGGTTGATGATGTGCATCAATGAATTGAGTCCATTCGAAGTCGAGAAATCAACATGCAAGCAGTGGCGGATCCAGAAATTAAAAAAAATCTAAAAATTTAGTATTATTTTCTTAAAATTAATGGGTATACAACTTTTTTTTTCATTTTCTTTAACGCATTAGACTAAACTTAATCATTCTCAAAATATCGGGATACACTTGACCCTTAAGGGGCTTAATGCATCTGCTCGCCATGCAAATATTCTTTAAATTGGTTCCTCAGGTTGATTTGTGCAATAAGAAAAGGACTTGTAGGCTTAATCCATGAATAACTAAGCCATATCTGAACTTACTTGGTTGAATCACCATTCTCAATCCAAGCTGTTATTTTTTCCCACGTTTGAGATCAAATCCTTGAACAAAACATCAACTGAGGCAAAAAAAAAACAACTGAGTTAACATTAACACCAACATGATTGCCATTGATATCAGCGAGTGACGGGTTAAAACTGGTGTCAAACTCAGCGACGAAGAAAGAAGAAGAATTTTGAGAGTTAAAGTCATCTTCGAGCTATAGGAGTACCATGTAGCCATTGAAGAAACTGGAAGAATCAAGTCTGGACGATATGGAGAAGATGATAGATTTGTGAACTATAGTTCTTTTGCTCACTATTTTATGTATAAATTGTTTGGGCTTTTGTATTTGTTTAGTTTTCGGCAATAGTTAGTTATTTAGCTGTCGAGGAGGAAGAGAAAAAATACGAAGAAGAAGAAAGAGAAAAGAAGAGAGTAAATGGAAGTAACTGTCACCTCGGATAAAACTAATTGGAGGTAATATCAAGATATTACTGAAAATGAACTAAAAATTTGATGATTGTATTGTAAGTTTTAAAAGTTAGGTGACCAAAATACAAGCACCCTAAAAATTTGAAACTATTTATGTACTTACCCAATATTAAATTAAACTTTTTTGGGAAAAAGAAGAAGCAATTAAGCCATTTCGTAAATTAGCGTTAAATGAGGACCAAAAAGTTTCAAAATTTATTTTGACTTTTCTTAATCTACTTTATTAAATGGGAATTATTTTAAATTATTTGTTTATAAATTTAAGATTGCTTTTATTTACATTTTAAATGTTTAGATTAATTGATTTTAATTACTTCATAGATTTTTTTTCTTGGCAAACATGGAATTACTTCGGAAAAGTCGATAAACGTAGCAACTAGACGCGTATAACAGCTCCCAAATGCCACAAAATAGCCACAAAATACTCAACAGATTAAACATTAATGGATGAAAATATTATTTTCTAGTTTCGATTGAGATTTGAAGATATTATAATATTATTCAATAAGTTTAATTGAAGGAAAGAAAGAAAAAAATAATTTTTTATTGAAAAAACCACCAAATGATGGTGAAAAGAGCAAATAATGTCCAGTTATTTAGGGTTATTTTAATATGTCACGTCAACTTTCGTTAATGGTTAAATAATCCAATGATCGAAATAAATTTTTTTTTGTTAATGGCAGTAACTCAAATGAAAGTTTTTTAATTTCAATAACCAAAATTAAAATGACCCGAAGTTTCGTGATTGTTATTAGAGTTTACCCTAGAAAACATAAAGTACAGAAGATGTGCAATACAAGTACTTATTCGAACTTCATCGAGGATCTAGTTCCGAAATAGAAGCCTCATTGACAGAGTCTTGGATGGCTTCTCTTTCAGATTGATTAAAGAGTAGGAATGACTCGTTCTGAGATTTATTGATTTAATGATTAAATCATTAAACTAAGGTTTATTCTCGATCACTCTACATATTTCTTTTTCGAGTCGTCTGAGGGTTTTACAATGTTATGACTTAATCCTATTTATGTCTGAGTCCAATGATAATTAATTACATCTAATGAATCAATCATTCCAATCAAGCATTTTACCACCTATCCATGAGTTCCGAAAAGCATACAAAAGATAGTAGACTATTAACTCGATTTTCGTGTCATACTGATCGACCATTTAAGATCCATTCGATCGCCCTTAATCTTTAATTCAATACCCAATAATTCCTCAAATACATAACAATAGAAATTTCATAAACAAAGCTTAATTGCGAAAAACGGATCGAATCGGAGATTAATCAGTGAAAAAACAGCTTACCGGGTTCGAATTTGGCAAAACGGACTTCGGAATCAAACACATGACGTCGAAAAACATAAAATATGAATTTTAAAATTTTTTGACTTTTTTGGTCAAAGTCAACGGTCAGCGGTCAACAGTAAATGGCTCGGTCCAGACGGCTCGGCTCAAACGACTCCCCTGGATGACAGACGACGCCCACTCTCAAAAGGCGGGGCGTGCGGCAGCTCCGGTCGTCAGTTTGGCGTGAAATTTTCCAGACTTGTAGATCGACACTCTAGGAGTCTCGTGTAAGTGTTATTTTTCAACGAATCATAACGGATCATAGAATTTTAAAACGTACCAACTTCTCCAACGGTGGTCGGCGAGTGACGACGACAGATTAAAAACGACACAACGATTTCGGTCGAGTTTTGAGCGCACGGTGACGGTGAGTCCGATGGTGTAGGAGGTGTGATGAACGGGGTGGCCAGATCAACCGGAATCGACGGAAAACCGACAGCGATCGATTTAACACCGACGAAATTTCCTGTTGAGTTTTACGATGAACGACGCCGATTCACGACGGGATCCCTGAATTTCTTGCACATTCTAAAACTAACTATAAGTTTCGAAAACTTATAATTTGACCCCTAAATTAGGGTGTGACATGTAATATTAACACCTGGATCATTCAAAATATAATTTAGAAACCTATTTGTAAAAAACCATTATAGTTTAGACATTTATTTTATAATTAAGACTAAAGTTATTTTATAATGAGAAAATAACCTCAGTGACCGAAAATGCCTTATAATATACGATTTTAACCAACTTTTTTTGGATTTGCCAAAATGACCAACAAATTCGCAACGCGAATTCAAATTTCGCAACCCAGGTTCCAAATTCGCAATGTGAAAGTCAAATTCGCAACGCAAAAGTCGAAATTCGCAATGCGAAAGTCGAAATTCGCAACACGATTTTAAGATTCGCAACGCGATAGTCGAAATTCGCAACGCGATACTCCAAAATCGCAATGCATTTGTTTCTTAAGAATTTTCTCTAAAAAGATAGTATCCGTGCGGACGTGTCGAAGACACGTATTACCACGACCACGACCACGACCACGATGGGACGGGACGGACGGACGGCGGCGGCGGTGCGCGAGAGTCCCCCTTGTTCTCTTTCACTCAACAAGGAAGTGAGAAATCCAAGCCTTAAATACCCATTCCCAATAGTGTTTCCAATACTATGTGGGATTGAGTATTACCAACACTTGTTTTCAATGCTAAGTTGAAACATTTAACATTTGGAAGTTGGAACACATTTAACCAAGTGAACATCCTTTCGGTGGCCAAGATAATTAAGTGATATTTGTAATCGAGTTGGGAAAACTTGGTTTGTTTTGCAATATTTAAGTGATATTTGTTTTTAACATAAGATCCTATTCCATTATTACGTGCCAGGATGTACACAACGCATTGGGGTTAATCAAATGTCTTTTGTGTTGGCTACATGGTGTGATGGCGACATCGTCGGGGGAACACGACGAAGTGCTTATTCTTGCTTCACATCATCTCTTTTATCTTCTCTTAACCCAACTTTCGCCAAGTACATTGCCTTCTCAAGCATTGATTAAATGTGTTCCAACTTAATTATCTTGGCCACCGAAAGGATGTTCACTTGATTAAATGTGTTCCAACTTCCAAATGTTAAATGTTTCAACTTAGCATTGGAAACAAGTGTTGGTAATACTCAATCTCACATAGTATTGGAAACACTATTGGGAATGTGTATTTAAGGCTTGGATTTCCCACTTCCTTGTTGAGTGAAAGAGAACAAGGGGGACTCTCGCACACCGCCGTTGCCGTCCGTCCTGTCCCGTCCCGTCCTGTCGTGGTCGTAGTTGTGGTAATACGTGTCTTCGACATGTCCGTGCGGATACTATCTTTTTAGAGAAAATTCTTAACAAACAAATGCATTACGATTTTGGAGTATCGCGTTGCGAATTTCGACTATCGCGTTGCGATTTTGGACCATCGTGTTGCGAATTTAACTTTCACGTAAAGAATTTGACTTCTGTGTTGCGAATTTGACTTTCGCGTAAAGAATTTGACTTTCGCGTTGCAAATTTAGAACCTGAGTTGCGAAATTTGAATTCGCGTTGCGAATATGAGATCGCGTTGCGAATTTGTTGGTTATTTTGACAAATCCAAAAAAAATTGGTTAAAATAAATAAATTTTAACAAAATAAAATAATTAAAAGATTTATAATTCTAATAATACATTATATAGTTCTCCAGTTTACAATTCATCCATTCTCAACACCCAATATTCATACTAATCGATGATTTGAATTCTTAATGAAACAAAACTGAGATCAATCGTAACTATGGATCATATTTCTGGCTTGGAATTCTCATGAAAATGAGAATTCAAATGTCGCACAGTATGTTCAGCTTCGATCATCTGGGGAAATCATCGTCACTTCCATGTTAACAAATAAACTTCATAACACGAATTCTAAAAACACATTCAAAAAAGAGAAATCATTTAGATTAAGATAAAAAAAATCAAGACGGATCAGAGCTCTGGCTTGAAATCTCTAACGAATTAAAGATTAAAAATTCGCACAGTTTGTTCAGCTTCGATCACCTGGGGAAATGATCATCACTTCCATCTCTTTTTAAATCGTAAAAAAAATTGAACAGAAAATGTAGGGGAATCGGAATGTGCATAAAAATTACAGGAAAGAATCAAAATGCCAGAATCTCAACCCCAGATAATTCATATCGGCAACGTACAGCGCTGAAGTGGCTATTCAAATCGAAGCGCTGAAGTCGCTATTCAAATCGAAGCGCAACAGCGACTCTAATTTATTGCCTTTCTATTGATTTTCTAATGTAGAAATTCTTGGAAAGAAGACAAAACGAAGAACAAAAAAATGGGAATAAATCGGCGCTAAGAACAGAGAGGCGAGCGAATTGGCTGATGAACAGAAATGAGAGGCACGTGGTGGATTATAAATAGAGAGAAATGGTAAGGACAAACCCTAATTTGGCGCTTCAAAGAGAGATGAAATTACCTTAGTGACCATTTTAGATTCATAAAAATACGATTTTATCCTTATTGAAGTGAGAAATAGGGATATTCAAAAATACCCGACTCAAATGACTCAATCCGTCGATCAAATAAAAAAATTCGGGTACCTTTTTAAAAAAATTCAAGTTCCAAGTCCGGTACTCGACCTGACATTTTATCGAGTCGGGCCCGGGACACAAAATTAAATTTTTTTTGGGTACCCGGTTACCCGAGTATCCAGTTACATTTATTATTATTACTATATATATATATATATATATATATATATAATATTACATATTTAATTATTAATAATTTTATATATTAAATTAAACTAATAAAATTAAAAAAAAACTCCCACCCATCCAACAGAAATTTGGAACTCCCAAAATTGAAATCTCTAAAACGTTCATTCCTTCCTCGCGCTCCACCGTTCCAAGAGTGTGCTCTCAGCTTGCACTCATCAACGGTCGTTGGCTCATCGCTACGGCTACACATCTAAGCAGGCAAGCATCCACCACGACCACAATCCACAAGCCGCAAGCAGGCAAGCACGAAGTACCTGTAGGCCATAGGTATCTATTACTAGCTAATTTGAAAACTTTAAATTCTGATTCGTTGTGTCTGATTCTTTTTTTTGTGTTGTCAGTTGTCACAATGTGTCGATATATTTTTGTTCGTATTATGTAGTTAGTTAATTTTCCTGAATCAAAATCAACTTATGTATGTATGTTTGCATGTTAGATTTCATTTATGTACGCATATTTGATTGTTGGTTTATGGTTTCCTCTTCCAGTATCGAAAATTTTGAGCAATGATATAACGTATTAGATGTTAAACTATTGTTTGTAAAGCTCCCAAGATTTGAGACTACAATAACAAAAAGGGTTGAAGTATGTTGTGAAGCAAATATTTTAGTAAAGTGAAGGAGATATCGGCAAGCATAATCTAATGGCTTTTTTTTTATTTTATTTTGATAGAGGTGGTGAAATTGTTATTAACATCAATTGTGAAATGTGAAGAAATATTTTTAAAAACAAACAATTTTGTTTTCTTTTTTATTGTTATACACATTGTTTTTCTATTTCAACATTAAGTGTTTATGGTTATTCACTACTCATTACAAATGCTTTTTATTGTTATACACACTATTTTTTCATTGCGATATAAATGTAGCCTTTCGATTGTTATTCACTATTCAATGTTCACACACGCTCTTAAATCTAGTTAGCTAACTATTATTATTAATGTTATTACGTTGAATCTTTTTTTATTTCCAGATTATATCGCTGACAGAAGAAAATATTGATGATATAGAGATGTTATCTTCCTCAATTGAGTCGTTTAAGGAACCCAAAAAAATTAAAGTGGTTGAGACTCCAATCAGTACAAAAAACAAAAGGACGGGGAAAAAGATTGCTAAAACCGTTGAAGCTAAAGGAGGCAAAAGAAAAAAAACTTCTTCTGCTTGGGATCATTTTAAAGCATTTGATGGTGATAAAGAACATGCCAAATGCATTTATTGTGCTCGAAAAATAAGATATGCGACTAGCAATGGAACTAATGCAATGAAGCGTCATACTGCCCGATGCAAGAAAACCCCCTTTAACTTGGAAAAAATACAAGCAATCTTAGATTTCGAGTCCAAGACAAAGTGCAATACTGATGGGACCATAGAAACTGTTAGGACCATAGAAACTGTTAGCGTTCCTAAACTATGATGTTTTGATCAAGAGAAGATTAGAGAAGTATTCGCTAAAATGGTGATTGTTAATGAGTTGCCATTTAGCTTTGTTGAACGTGAAGGAATTTGTATGATATTTTTAAATTATAATCATAATTGTAATTAAACTATTTTTGTGTAAATATCATACAAATTAAATTAGTGTAAACTACACAAATGGTCACTAATGTTTGAGTAAGTTTTCATTTTTCCTATTGAAGTTTCAAAAGTAACAAATGAATCACTAACATTATCGATTTGTAGTAAACCAATCGCTTCCCATTAATCATCGTTACTATTGGTTGATGTGGCCCTTTAATAGAGTAATCTGGCAACTGATGTGCTATGCAAGAGTGTCTGTTGGACCCTCATAAAATTGTTGACCGATGTTTATAAAATCCTTTACTCTTCTCCAACCTCACACCACCACCACAGTTATCCTTTTTTTTTCAATCTCAGCCTCTCAGTTTATTAGCTTATTGTAATATGTATATTTGCCTATGCAACTATAACTTTGATATTTACAAGAAAGTTCAATAGTCAAGATATGCAACAACCTTCTCCAATACAAGTGGGACACCGATTGTTAGGGGCATCGATTAATCCCGATTGGGATTATTTTGATTGCTTGCTTTAAATAGCCAAGTTGAGGAAGACAAATTGCAGAAAAACCTGATGTTGGCTAAGAAAATAACATTGTCAGTGCATGAGATTGATAAACTTTCAATTCTTTTTTATTGTTCTCTTAGTGTCTGAACACTACAACAAAACATAGTTTTAGCGGCGTTTTTTAGTCCTATAGCGGCATTTTTAAGCGCCGCTAAAAGCACTTGCGGCGATAGGAAAAACGCCGTAAGAAGGGTCGGCCATACCAGCGCCGCTAAAGTTAGCGACGTTTGAGAACAAAAAACACCGCAATAGGTCAATATCTATTGCGGCATTTTTGAACAAACGCCGCAAAAGGTCGAGATCTATGCGGCGTTTGTTCAAAAAACGCCGCAATAGGTAAAGATATATAGCGGCGTTTTTGGAACAAACGTCGCAAAAGGTCAGATATATAGCGGCGTTTGTTCAAAAAATGCTGCAATAGGTCAAGATATATAGCGGCGTTTGCAAAAGGTTAGACATTTAGCGGAGTTTGTTCAAAAACCGCCGCAATATGTCAATATATATAGTTGCGTTTTTTGAACAAACGCTTTAAAAGGTTAGATCTATAGCGGCGTTTTTGGAACAAACGCCGCTAAAGGTCAGATCTATAACGGCGTTTTTTTGGTACAAACGCCGCAAAAGATCTAGGTCTATAGTGGCGTTTTTTGAACAAACGCCGCTAATTACCTTTCTTTAGCTAAGATGATTTTCCATATTTCATTTCTGCTCTACATCACCTAAATTTAATATCATCTAGCTTTATCTAATTAACAACAACCATACATTTTAATAAATACACAAGTTATGCAGAAAAATACTTAACAACAAAATAAATTAAAATTTATAAACATTAAAATTAAATGTAATATAGTTTGACATTGTTCTTCATTGCAATAATCCAATAATACATTTTTAATAAAAGGGTAATGGTATTTACCCAATGACTTTCTCTAGAATAGGTTCATCCTCGTCAATCATGTGATATGTCTTTGTCAATACAAAATTCTTGAAATAAGGGTTGGTATCGAAGTAGAACTCAAGATTGAATCCTTTAGGCTCCTCTACCCTAAACCACTTAATACCTTTAAGATATTAGAGAGCTCCCTCATCACGCCGCTATAGATCTGATTCCGAACACATAATGCAAAAATGAGCAAGTATTTCCAACCCAAAGAGAGTACTATGACGAGAAGTACAAATGTAACTCACCTCATCAGCAAGCACTTCATTGTTCTTCATTGCAATAAGCCAAAAATCAAGAACCCCTTTCTCTGCATAAAGCATAATTTCTCTAACAAGTTTTCACCGTTCATAATTGTAAAGGACCAAAGTACTTCCTCTAGCAGAAAATAAGTAATAATAAACCTACTCCGATGTGGTGACCAAGCAATCTTCAGCAAGGTGTCCCGGCCTCTTGCATTTCAAACTAAAATAAGAATCATTCATATAAGACTCGGTGGTAATCACTACTAAATAGTGGAACCAATTTTCAAACGACACAGAACCTATGAAGCTATGCTATCTCATGCTTGAAGAAAATCTATTTATAAATGTTATTTCAAAATACAAATTTAAACGAAATTGTACCATTTGTAGCTACAAAGACTAGATCCTTAGTTATTTGAAGGCTACGCAAAAGAGCAGATTTGCACTCCATGCTGCAAATGTCGTCATCAGTCTACGCAGACACATCATATCCAAAGTTAGAGAGTCATAGAAGGGAATAAGAGAATGATGTAGTGAATTTTGACTAACAAGTCTCATTTATCTCACCTTATCACATATATATTCTCCATATCTACGACAAACTACACAAACAGGTCCGCCTGGAAGAGGAAACCGTTGCTCACTTCTTCTCTTAATTCGATCTACTTCATTCAAATCACCTACAAAAGTGAAGGCCACATATGCAACAAATATATTTTACAGCTTCATTGATCATAAGCTATCAATAATCAGAGAAAAAATGGGTGTTCTCAAAAGGCTTTCCATTTACTATCTTCCCTTGTTTTGCCATGAAGCAAAAAGGTAGAATCAGGCTTCAAATTGACCTAACACTGAGACTATGATAGTTATATTTAATGTCGAACAATAGCAAAAAATGTTTCTTGCCTGAGATAAAATTAGAGTAGAAGCCCCAGATAGAATTTCTGAACAAAGATTGAGAAAAATGTATTAGAAATAATATAATAATAACTAGAAGTTCAATATAATACTATTCTATTTCC